TTCTGCAGTGCCCTTCTAGGTACACAGAACAGCCCTATTCACTGAGTGCTAGGATCACACACAGAGGTGAACCACTAATGGACCATCTTGGCTGGTTACCACTGACTCCATTAAAAATCCCTGCTCCCCTAAATTACATTATTTTTATTGTCTCCTTTGTGCTCTGTCTTATCTGCTTGCCTCATATTCCTCCACATCTAAGATTGGAATCTGAACACCCTTCCACTGAGAGTTAGAACAGGAAGACACCTTGAAGACTGTCTCTGGAAGGCCTATGTCCTGGTTTCATGATGAAGGGACGAAAGTCATCCCACGTTCCCGTGCCCACAAAGGCAGGGCTCAAGGTCACCCAGCCCTGACTCCCTCCTTCACCATTTTCTTGGAAGTCCATCCTTTGTGAAATGTTTAATCACATGTAAAATTGGTGTTCATGAGGCCCAGAAGCTGTACATTAATGTTTATTTTATTTTGGTATGATTTAACTTTCTTAGGTCCCCACAGAGATGGGGAGAGTCTGTGGATTAAGAGGTGTGACTAAATACTTCTGAAAACAAAGCATTAAAGCAATTTCCTCTTTCTTTCCTTGGGCCTATGTTGGTTTCCTCAGGATTTTAGCTAGCACCTTTGTTTCAGAGGTACAATACAATGATATGATATCATGTGAACGCCACTGTAGTGCTCAGTATTCTCTCTAGCACATCATATTTATTATAGCACAATGGTCAGAACAGTTAAGATCAAGTGTCTTGGCAAGCTTAGTGAGAAGAAAACATCACTGCTGTCTATCCTCATTGTTCCATGCTTGAGACTTATTGGGTTTATACCTCTCTCCTACCTTCCCACCACAGTAGCTACCTCTTTCTGTTTTTAACAGATTAGCTTTTCCAGATTCCACATACAAGTAATATCATACCATATTTGTCTTTCCCTCACTTTTATTCTGTAGGGGTTGGGGTTGTGTGTGTCGGGGGTGGGGGGTGGGGGAGAACAGTGCTCAGGGTCTATTCCTGACTCTATGCTTAGGGGACCTGACAGTGCTTAGGGGGCCTTATGTGGTGCCGGGGATCAAACTGGGTCAGCGTCATACATGGCAAATATCTTACCTCCTGTACTGTATTTCCAGTCCTCTTTCTCTGACATATCTCACTTTACCTAAAATCCTCTTTCAGGGAGAGTGTAGAAAGGTTCCAAGCAGTACTCAGGGAAGCCAGGGCCTACCTAGGTTGATCCTGGTGCTATTATGCCAGAGGGACTGGGTGGTTCAATGCTCAGGAAAACAATGTGGTGTTGTTGAGGATGACCAGGAACACCCTGGTGGAACTGGGAGCTGTCAGATTCTGGGCATCAAACTGGGTCCTAGTTCATTTGAGGCATGACACCTGATTCCTGAGCTTTCTCTCCAGCCCATACACAAAATTCTTAAAATCCATTCCCTTCCTGTTTGCAGATGGCAAAATGCCTTTCTTTCTCAGTGCTAAACATATATGTATATACAATATGTACATTTATATAAATATATCTTTATCATTTCATCCTCTGAATGACATTTTGGTTGTTGTGACTAATGTAATTAACATAGGACTATACTTTTCTCTTCAGTGGTCTCAGGATAGATACCCAGAAGTGAAATGACTGGATCATATGGTAGATCTATTTTTTACTTTTTGAGGCATCCCCATATTATTTTCCATGACTTTCCTTTCCCCCTATCCCTCCCTCTATTCCATGTTCACTTGTAGCAATCACTATTAACTACACTTTAATGGTAGCTTACTCTATGCTAAGTGCTTTATAAACATTATCTTATTCAATGTTTAATCTGATGCTTCAGATCTTGAATTATCTCCAGTTTGGGTTTGTTTACCACCTTTGTCCTATTGAAGCCATTTCTTTAGCTCCGCAGCTTTTCAAAACAAGTGGCTGCTGAAGGGGGTCACTTTCAGACCCAGTCATGCTATTGTGGCTTTGACTGGAATCAAGAATTAAGGATCCTTATCTAGTTATTATCTTGAGAGCCTTTTGTTCTCCATAAAGCTTGCTTGTTCTGGATATGATAGTGGTACTTAGTTCTCAAAAAAATGACAGTTTGCTCATGGACACTTGCATGTTTGAAAGAAAGAAGAGGCCTTCCATGTCTCTTCTCAATGCATTGGGGGGTTTGTTTTGCTTTAGGGTAAATCACAGCTGGTTCTATGCTCAGGGATCACTCCTGGAAGGACTCAGGAGACCATAGGATCAAATGGGGGTCGAATGTGTGCAAGGCAAGTGCCCTACCTGCTGTACTCTCTTTCCAGTCCCTCAGTCTATCATTTTTACACAGATTCTAAGGCATAAGCAAAGAAAGTAGCCGCAGTCACTGCCAGGAATGATCCCTGAGTACGAACCAGGAGTTTGCACACCTGACCACGACCGAGTGTGCTTCATCCTGTTAGGATCATGGTATTATTTGAAAAACAGCATAACAGAAATTCAAATTGTCAAAAAACTTAAACATTAGGATCTTCTCAAAAGATTAAAAACCCACGAAAAGGATGAGCAAATGAAACTTTCACATCTTTCAGGCAGAGAAGGATAAGGCACAAGGATTTGGGTTAGAGGTAAGGCCGTAGGGAAAAAGACCTTCCTATCCCAGAAGATGCTGGTTTTCACTCCATAATCATGGCAGATTTTATGCCCAAAAACACATCAAATCTAGGGCTGGAGAGTTGGTACAGAGGGCTGTGGTGGCTGCAATCTTGGTTCAAATCCCTGGTATCATATGCTGTCCCTAAGCACTGTCAGGGGTTACTCTTGAGCACAGAGCCAGGAAGAGCTCCTGAGTACTGCTAGATATAGCCTGAAACTCCTCCCCAAGCTCCCTCTCTCCCCACACACACCAAAACAAAAAGCAGGATATGACCATTTTTTGAAGATTTGCTTTTTAATTGAACCAGTTTCTCTAGAAAGCAGGATGCAATGATTCTGTGGTGACACGCAATAAGGGCTAGTTTAGCAAGAATCAAGAGTCCCTGGATGTGATTTCTGGGCTGATTCCAGTTTAGTCAAAGGAGAACATATCTGTTACCTTTGGGCGGTAAAGTAGAAGCTGTTTTTGCATGTACTGCTTTTTACTAGCCTCCAGCTCAAAATAACTTTGATGGGTGAAGGAGTGTAACAAAAAGGAGAGTGAAGAGGTGATATAAGGACAGGAGAGAGGGACTTGGGGGTGGGGAGGAACAGTAGTTACTGTTCATTAATATCATAAACTGATAATACTATTGTAATCATGTTACGTAAAATTTAATTTAAAATAATGAAAAAATCATATGTCAAAGGGTGTTTTACAGTGACATATTGGGTTTTCCTTCAATATTTTTTTCAATCTATAGTTGCTAAGTCAGACTATGCATGTTCCTGGAGTTCTAAAAGGAAGGTTTTCCTCAAGTGGGAAATTGGTAGTGCACACTAACTTTTATTTCTAATAAGAGGAAATTTTTCCTCTTCAAATTCATACCTGCTTTCAAATAAAACTTCTCAGACGATAACTTTTTCACCCCACCACTATGTCAATCATTCCATTAAGTGAGATGGTTTCTCTAAGTTTGTTAATAAGTTATTTTGCTAAATAAAGTCTAGGCATACCTAAAAGCCAGATATTCCTTCAGTTTTTTTTTTTTAGTGTTGATGTCACATGAAGATTGAAAGAGTGACTAAACATTGATTCTCATTTGAAAGTTAATGAGAACATGAAAAATAAAGCAATCATTTTCCCCCCAAAATCACTATACCTGGAGTTTGCTGATTATAACTTTTGATAACCAAAGCATTACCATGTGCAGACAAGGGAAGAAAAATCCCTCCCAACACTTTCCATGCCTGTAGTGTTTGACCTAAATGTATCCAAATTCAGATGTGCAGAATTGAGGGGAAGCTTATCTTAGTTTAACTGGCATTGGAACCACTACAGAAAAAATTATCTCTATCAAAGTTAAGATTTTTTTCTGAAGAATTTTGGACTTAACTACAAAGATGAAAACCAAATAAAGATCTCAAAGATGTCTAATTTTGTGTGTGTTTGTGTGTGTGTGTGTGTGTGTGTATGTGTGTTGGGGGGAGTGTGGGGTGTTGTTTGTTTTTAGTTTTAGTTTTTGTTTCTTTGTTTTTGTTTTTCTTGTTTGCTTCCATGTGGGCCACACCTGGTTGTAATTAGGACGTACTCTTAGGTCTGTGTTTAGTGTCATCTGCAGTGCTTAGGGAGCTATGTGGTGCCAGGGATCTAATCAAACTCCCCACATGCAAACCATATACTCCAGCCTATTGAGCTATCTCTCTGGCCCAATGTCTCTGATTTTCTTTTTTTAAGCATTCTACAAAAGCCAGGGAGATCCCGCAGTAATTATAGCATTTACCTTCTAAATGGCCAATCCTGGATTGATTCTTGGCACTGCACCAAGCTCCACTTGGAGTGATCCCTGAATGCAGGGCAAAGAGTAAGCCCTGGGCACAGTTGGGTGCCCAAGCCAAATAAGTAGATAAATAAATAAAAGGTCATCCTAGGAATAGTTTTTTCTTTTTTTTTTTCTGAGGATAGTAGAATGTACTGAGATATGCCTCTTTGGGGGTTGGGGGTGGGGGTTCTTTTTGTTTGTGTTTTGGTATTTGGAAAGGATCCCTGAGAAGTTGGGCCACACCCAGCAGTGCTCAGGGCTTACTCCTGCCTTTGCGTTCAGGGATCGCTCCTAGTGGGGCTTGCGGGGGAACAAATGCAGTGGCAGGAATCAAACTTGGACTAGCCATATGCAAGGTAAGTGCCTTCTTCACTGTACTGTCTCTCTGGTTCCAGAAATATACAAACATAAAAGAAATTTAGGAAGGGGTCTGAGACTAAGAGGTCTATTCCCAGAAATAGCTTCTTCACTGGCGACACTTGCCTGGTGACACAGCAACCTTCCTAAGCAGACAGTAGGTCGCAGGGCCATTGGCTAATGAACTTCACATGAATGTCATAAAGTAAGAGCCAGATGGAGGCCATCAAGACTCTGCCCAGGATCCACCACTATGCAACTGACCCCAACAGGTACAGCTTGGAAAAGCCCTAAAAGAGCAGTTTTGGAGAAACTCTGCCTATATTCTATCAGCCTTGGACCATCCACACCTCTCTCCTCCAAGTATGCCTCCTTCTCCCTTTAATTTGACAGGGCAGCACTCCCTTACTGAAAGTTGCATCTTATGTAGGGTAGGTGTAGAATTTCTTTCCTTTACAACTGTCATCCTAGAAAAAGCCCAAGAATAATTGTCTAGGGGAGAGGGGCTTTATTGGCAATGAAATATTCATTCACATATTCATGAGGAGAAAGAAGAAAGTAAACCAAAGAGAATAGAAGTTGAAATGGGTTTGACAGTACAGTCTCCACTATCTGATATTAGTAAGCCAGGAACTTGGGAACCTGATCAAAAATGTTCCTGTTGTTTTTGTGCCACACACAGCAATACCCAGGGTTATCTTTTTTTTTTCACTTTTTTTTTAAATCATTGTAAGAGATATACCCTTACAAAGCTGCTCATGATTAGATTTCAGTCATACAGTATTCCAACAACTCCCATCCCTCCATCAGTGTACATTTCCCAGAACTAGTGTCCTCCCATCAATCCCAACCCCTCTACCCCTCCACCCCCTTCCTGCCTCTATGGCAGGTGCTTTCCCCCTACCCTCTCTCTCGCTTTCATTCTCGCTCTCACTTGCTCACTCACTCACTCTTGCTCTTGCTCTTTCCTTCTGGGCATTGTGATTTGCAATATTGAGAATAGCAGGGAATGATCATGCTGGGCAAGATCTTAGTGTTAAAAGTAGGTAAAGGGATATTCTTGATAACCTTTCAGGGGTTATTCTTGTCTCTGTGCTCAGGAATGATTCCTGGCGGGCTTAGGAGACCATATGGGATGCCAGGGATGGAACCCAGATTGGACACATGCAAGGTAAATGGCCTGCCCACTGTACTATCACACCAGCATGGAAGAAGTGTTCTTAAATTCTGCTTTCGCTGCAGCAGAGCTAGCCAGGGCCAAAAGATCGCAATATTGGGAGGGAGAGTTGGTCATACCCTCCAAAGCACAAGCTCCAGGCCTCAGTTTAGTTTTCCTCACCCTAGAGAGAGTCATGTTCAGGGTAAGGAGAAAGCATCATGCATCTGTAGTCTCCAAAGTAATTTCCTGTAGGACAGACTTGACAGTAGGCTTAATGGCAGGGCATAATTGATTTAGGGGCTTCCAGTTTACCACAGTACTGTAGTGACTCAGTTGCTCTGCCACTAGCCAATTTCAAGTCTCTTTGGGTGTGTTTGAAGCCTTAAATAATCCCTGATTCCAGGTCATTTATTTGGGCTTCACCCAGTTGGTGTCCCCAGACATGAAGAAATGCATCTAATCCTTAAATATAGTGTGTCTTTTCAATTAATTTGTTTTATTTGGGGGTTGGGAAACTGGACCACATCCAGCTGTGTTCAGGGATTACTTCTGGCTCTCTGCTCAGGGATTAGTCCTGGTGGTGTTCAGGGGAAGATTGCAGCCCCAGGATTAGAACCAAGGTGGCAACTAGAGCTGCATGCTAGGCAAGCACCTTCATATTTGCACATTCTCTTCAGTCCCAAACCATAGCATGTTAAGCCCAACTCCCAAAGCCACTGAAGATATGCTTCAAAGATACTAACTCCTGTGAATTTCGACTTCCATAAGGAGAAGACCTTTGAGCTAATTTTATCATTCCTCTGAGCCAGATGAGACATGTTGCTTTGGCAACTGAGAGAAAACTTGAGCCAGAACTATACCTCCTAAGATTTTATATCAGACAAAACACAAAAAAATAAATCACTGTGCTTTCCTGAGAGGATGGAAATTTGCAGAAGTGTTTTTGTGATGGATTGTACATTGTGAAGAATCTTTGGAGGGATGAGTCCCTCCCAGAAGTGCTCAGGGGACCATGTAGTGCTGGAGATCAAATCTGGCCAAGGATGCACTCTGAGCCTTGAGTTATCTTTCTTGCCCAAAACATTTTTGTCTAATTTTCACTTATTAATAAGCTTCCAAACTGCTGAAAATCATACCGGTGGTGGTGAGAGGTTGGGGATTACTGAGAAGTTCCATTATGTCTACTTAATAACATGGGAATGGAGATATTGATTGTCTTGCAATTAGCCAACTTGGGTTCAATTCCTAGCACCCCACATGGTCCTCCAAGCCCACCAAACAAAACAAACAAACAAACAAAAGCACCCAATAAATAAAAGAACCCCTGCTGCTGTGGTTTTACTTGGATCTGGTGGATTCTGGTATGTGGAAAGTATTGTGAAGACCGGAGGGGTCTTTGCAAACTCTAAGATAGTCAAGCTCGTGAAGCGAGCAGGTCTAAACCAGTGCATTGCCATTATGGGGATTATTTCCTTTCATTTTGGCGCTGGATTATCAATTTTTGAAGAGAAACACGTGCAAATTTAGAAAACTCTCCCAAAGGGATGAACAGGGGAGTACTAGGGCAAGAGCAAGAAACAAAAAGATTTGTGAACACTGTAGTCTTCTCTGCTTACCTGGAGAGTTTATAGAGACAAGAGGAGAAAAGCTTGAGGGAATAGGAGTGGGCAGCAGGAAGGCAGATGTTCTCACTGTAAAGAATTTCAGAAGGGTTGAGAGAGATAGCAATGGGGTTAAAGCATTGGCCTGGAGCTGTTGAGACAGGAAAGCCATCAAGTGACTGACCACAGTTAGATCTCTGGCATCCCATGTGGTATTAGAGTCCCTCCAGGAGTGATTCCTAATACAAAGCCAGCAGTAAACACTGAGCACCGCTGACTGTGGCCCCCAAACAAAACAAAATAAAAAACACTTGCCACGCATGTGGCCGAACCCGACTCCTAAGAGTTGCCCCTGAACACTGCCAGCTATGACTTAACCTCCTCTCCCCCATGAAAAATAATTTCAAAGAACAATGCAACAAAATACTTTTATTTAGGAGATAGAAGAGGAGAGAGTGCCATAAAGTAAAAGGAAGAAATTATACACCAGATTTAGAATGAAGGTCACCCCAAAATAATACACCATGAAGTTAAGAGAAAAAAACTGTACACTCAGATTTGAGGGATGTGGGCAGGGTCATTTCCAGAGTGGAGTGTGACCCTTCCTCTGCAAGGCTGACTTTCATAGGATTTTTTTTGGTCCTTTTCCTTGTCTGTCTGTCTCCCTCGCCCTGCCTCCTCTTCTACCCCCACTTCTTCCTTTTTTTTTATGTGTCAGTACCTCATACCTGTGAGCACCCTATCCCTGAGTTAATACCAGACCAACTGCTAGGCTCCTCAAGCTGCCTCAAGTTTGGGGCTATCTGTGCCCATAAGCATATGTTGCTAGGGCATTGTCAAGGGGAAAGACTCTGAGTGTTTAATGACCTTCCTTCCTTCCTTCCTTCCTTCCTTCCTTCCTTCCTTCCTTCCCTCCCTCCCTCCCTCCCTCCCTTCCTTTCTTCCTTTTTTTCTTCCTGATGGAGTATCTCATCTCCTAAATGGGGGTCTAGCCTTCACAAATCCTTTTGGGTAACTGGCAAAGGGGAAGGAAATGGAGTAACTCCTTTTCAGATGAGGTCTTTATTTTGTTAATTCCCAAAACTAATTGTCAAGGACAGTTATTGAGTAGGATAATGAAATAAAACCAAGTTACTAGGCTGGGCTGGAATACTTGAATTTTGCTTCTGTAGCTGATGGAGACCCATTAAGAAATGAAAATAGGAGTATGTACGTGTTCAAATACTTGCTGACTGGGAGGAAATTAGCAGATGACAAGGTGGGTTGTTACTGATGATGACTAGAGACAGGAAGATGAGTCAGCCTCTCCTCTTAATCTCTCTCAACTTCATTTCTTGGCCCATCATTTTCTCTCTTCTCATGTAAAGAGCCCTAGAAAGCCAACTCCAGAGGTTGCCTTTCCTCCCTGTAATAAGCATTGCTTCTTTATCACTAAAAGAAGAATTGGGCATGAGAGATGACTCACTTGACTGAATATATGCTTTTCATGTAGGAATTTCACCTTCAGCACTACTAGAGCAATCCCCAAGTGCAGATCCAGGAGGAGACTCTGAGAACCTTCAGGTGTGGTCCTCAAACAAAAATAAAAAGCAAACCAACAAACTAAGACTTGCCAGCAGGTTTCATCTTCTTGCATACCAGCATTAGGAGACTCTTCTGTTGATACTATTGTTACTCTTCAGTTCCTTGGGGATCAAGAATCCTAAGTATCTCCAGAAAAGGCTGGTATTTGTAAAACCCAAGTCAAATACTTAGGATTCATTATTAGTGCAGGATATAGTGCTTCACCCTCAAATCCATCTGTCCCTTCCTAAGGATGGGCGCTCTCACTAAGATATCTGCCCCTCTGTTTCATTCCTCAAAAGAAGGTTGGCAAGAGAAATTGGGGTGTCGTGCTGTCTCCAACTTCACCAGGAATTTGAACTACCCAAGACACTCAAGTACATGCACCCCCATTCCTGGGCCGGGGATGAAACAGATAATGGGGGTATCCATACAAATAAGAAAACTTCTATTCTGAATTTAAGTCTATCATTCTGTCTTAGCAGGAAAATAGTTACAGAGGAGACAATGTCCCACCTCCCTCCAGAAAGGAGGTGTCTGATGAATTTGTTAGGATTAGGGCCTCTCTGGCTCCTGATCAAGCTGCTAATTACCGGCCATGATCCCAGAGACTTAGAAACAAATCTCGGAACCTAGCAACTTTTAGCAGAAATCCCTCCAGATTTAATTATTAAAACTTCAGAATTCCAAAATCTGCATTATATGCAATTCATCATCAGTAATAGAAAACAAATGGTCTAATGTTGCCTTTTCAGCAGATGTGAGTGTTGGGTTAAAATCCCAAGTAATAATGGTGGGTCCGGTGTCAAAATATTGAATGTAATCAAAGTAGAGAGAGAGTAATGTGGAAATCGTCTGCCACACAGGTAGGGGGAGGGTTTGGGAAGGGGGATATTCTGGGGGTTTTGGTGGTGGAAAATGTGCACTGGTGAAAGGATGAGTGTTTCAT